ATTTGTTTTGGTACTGGGGATCAAACTCCAGTCCTTGCACTTGCAAGGCAGGTGCCAGAACCACTGAACTAAATCCCCAGTTCAAGAATATTAATGTTATTGTAAACTGGATGCTTTTGATGTCCTGAATATAAAGAACATTTCAGAAACAAACTAAAAAATAGCAGATATTTTAAGAGCAATTCGTTGCTCCAGGTAGAGGGAAAAGCTAGAGCAAAGTTAAGACCATGCTCTGAGAGTCTGAGAAACAGCAAGCAGGTCAGTATAACCCAATAGTTAAGTGAAACAGAAAATAGAAAAAGATGAATCAGAAAGATAACAGAAGGGCCAGGTGATGAAATTCCTTTTTGTTTGTTCTTTTGTTTTTTGAGACAGGGTCTCACTATGTAGTTGAGACTGACCTGGAACTCACTATGTAGCCCAGGCTGGTCTTGAACTCACAGTGATCCTCCTGCCTCAGCCTCCCGAGTGCTGGGATCACAGGAGTGCGCCACCACGCCCGGCTCAGGTGATGAAATTCTTGTAAGACTTTTAAAAACTTTTCTTTGTTGAAAAACATTAAGGAGTCATTGCAGGGTTGTGAAGAAAGGTATGGTAGAAATCATACCATAACAATCCTCTGGCTAGTTTTTTGGAATAGAAACTATGTTGGTGCAAAAGGGAAGCAAGATATTTTTCCAAAGGTTACTTCAATAAACAAGGTGACAAACAGTACTATAGAACAGATGCTATTGGGGAGGTTACACATTTTCTTCCCTGGTATATTATTTTGAAAAAGTTCAAACCTACAGAAAAATTACAAAAAAAGGTACAGGCAACACCTCACCTGGATCCAGTGGTTAACATTTTGCTACACTGGCATTCTGCTTATATAAACACACACATACACATTTTTCTTTCCAACATAAGCGTGACAGACAAGAAATTTAACATTAATAAATATTATTATGTAAGGTATAAATCATTTTTATGCTAAAAATTTACTTCGATCCATGATCTAAGGATTAAACATCTCATTTCCCTCTTTGAAAGGTGACTTTTAAAAAAAAAATCAGGTTTACTGGAGTAGTTACATATGGTAAAACTGAAATCTGTTTACATAAACAGCTCAATGCTTTTCTTTTTATTTACATCAATTTATACTAACAAATGAATACAGCTGCATGACCAAAATGAAACAAAAATGTAGAGTATTTTTGTATTATCCCCCAAATTTCCCTTCTGCCTCTCTCAGGCAACCAGCAATCTGATTTTTATTGTTATAGCTTAGTCTTTTCCAAAATATCATACAAGACGCAGCATTTGTGTGGCTGCTTTCATTTACATGAATGCTTTTTAAATTAACCAGAGTTTGTTTCCTCTGATTGGTGGCTTGTGTCACACAAACGATGTAATGTACTTTTGTACTCTTTCCAGTATTGATTTTGAATAAAGCTGCCACAAATACTTACATACAGATCTCTCTATAGACATACATTTATATCTCTTGGTAAGTTCCAGACTTAGAGAATCTGTGCCATTTCACATTTTCAGTTTTATAATCAACACTGTATTCTTAATCTGTTTTGGAGAGAGGGGCTTCAATTTCCTGTAAATGAAAATAATTAGTCTAGAACATTTCTAATTTCAACTCCCAGATACATAAATATCTGGTTATAGTGGTTGCCTCTGAGCAGAGGAACGCAAGGGTCAGAAGAGAAGCAAAATTTCTCTTTTATTTTAAAGCTTTTGAATTTTGTGAATGTGCAAATGCTATCTGGTCAATAAAGAAAATAATTACTATCAAAACACAATACCTTTGCTTAAAAAAAACTTAAAATAAAGAGACTTAAATGTTCATGGATACAGATTTCTTAAATTGTGTATTTTACTCATACCTTACTAAAGTTTGGAGGAGGATTTTTGCCTCTACATAAATTTGAAAGGGCCCATACAGCATTTCTGGTTGTTGTAAGTCTGTTTGAATTTGTTAACAATCTGTCAAAAAACAAGAAAAGAAAAAAGGAATTGTCATTTTACATTTATTTTCCTATTCAGCTATTTTCAATCATAATACACAATAGTCAAACTAGTGAAAGAGGAAAAGGAATTTTTAAAAATGTATGATATTGCTAGCAATGGCAGCATACTCTTGAAACCCAGTACTCAGAGGACCGAGGTAGGAGAATCACAAGTTTGAGGCAGCCTGGAACACATAGCTAGTTCAAGAACAGCCTAGACCATAAGTGAGACCTCAAAAAAACAAAAACAAACAAACAAATTCTATTTTTCAGAAATAAAAATAAATATATTACAGTTACATTTTTTGAATCTAAGATCTGAACAGATTCTTAAATCATAAAACACTTTAAAAATAATGGGTGTCAGGGGAAATTTACCTATTTCTACACAAAGTACCTTTAAGATTATTACACTATTTTTGTTTTAATCACAAAGTATATCATATAAGGGCCAGAGGCACCTTGCAAGTTCAAGGTCCTGAGTTCAATCCCCAGTACTGATTAAAAAAAAAAAAGTATATCATATAAAATCAAGAAGTATGAAATCCAGGCTCAAATTGAATAAAGATCACTGATAACAAGAAGTTTTATGTTTTGTTTTTAACAAATTATACATCTAAGTACTATTTTTTAGTTTTCTTTTATTTTCAAAAGTCAGATGTTATTTTTAAATCATCCATACTCAATTTTGATTTAATGTACTATCATTTTCCCAAGGTATGAAATTTCAGAATCTCTTTGGAATACCAATTTCATGTTTGTAGGTTTAACAAAAACGCTGAAGTTTTAAATTCCACTCTATTTCCCTGAAATCTCAAGAGATGCTAATATAAATTTTACCATAAAATGTTTAGTCACAAAATAGTACTGCTTTTCTATGAACACTTTGTAAGATTACTTTGCTTTTGTTAATAATAACTATACTGTCTTTAATAAAACTAAACAAATTAAGAACTGTGATATAGAACAAAAATTACCCATGGTAAACAGGTACCAGCACAAAATTAGCTTACATCAAAAAATATTTTTTAGTGTTTCTAAGTATATATATCTAACATCTAAACATACAGTCAGGGTAGGAAAAAATAAAAACCAAAATGAAAATTTTAAAAATAATTTTAAAATTTTAAAAACACAAATGACCACATCTATAATTCTACCCAATTTTTAAGTAGGGACAAATTTCCACTTTAAAAAAATCTGTAGTTTGAAGGGCAAAGGGAACAGATAAAAAAGAAACTTTATGTTTACTCTTCCCCTACAGGTTTTCCAAGTCTGCTGTAGCTTAACTAAAATGTTCAAGGTGTTTCTAAGTACTTTTTTTTAGTTTGCAAAGAATTCTTGTATCTGTGAAGAAACTAAGGTGTTTCAAACAAGAAGTTTTCTTCTCAGCCTCCTAAGAAGTAAACCTACTTACAGGTTTCTATAAAAACTGTAAATTTTATCTAATTTGTATATTTTAGTTATTAATTTTTAAATAGGCAATCCTCTACAGTAGTGAACCTTGAAACTTAAGAGTTGTGGAGCTCACTGATATCCTTATGTCTCAGGAAAGCCCCTATCCTATTTGCAGATCAAATGGATTTCAAATCAACACTGATTACGAGGGACAAAGAAAGACATCCTTGTAAAGGGAACAATCCAAAATGAAGATATGACAATCATAAATATATATGCACCAAATACAACTGTGCCTGACTATATAAAACAAATACTAATGGATGCAAAAAATGACATAAATAAGCACTAATACAATAGTAGCTGAGGAACCTCAATACTCCACTGTCACAAACAGATCAACTAGACAAAATAAACAACAAAATACTAGAACTCAATTAAACTCCTGAACAAATGAACTTAACATATGTTTACTGAGTATTCCAACCAACAAAATCAGAATACACATCCTTTTCAGGTGCACATGGGTCGTTCTCCAAAATAGACAACACACTTGCTCATGGAAGATGTTTAAGTAAGTGCAAAGGAACTGAAGGTATCTCTTGTACATTATCAGACCACAGTTGAATGAAATTGAAGATCAATAACAAAAGAAAGCACAATAATTTCATAAACATATGGAAATTGAACACACTTCTGAATAACCAATGGGTCACAGAGGAAATTAAAGAAGAAATCAGACATTTCCTACAATTAAAGGACAATGACAATACACCATATTGAAATCTACGGGACACAATGAAAGCATTCTTGCAAGGGAAATTCAGAGCAATGAATACTCATATTAGGAAAATAGAGCAAGTTCAAATAACAACCTGATGCTGAACTTCAAGCTTCTAGAAAAAGAAGAGCAGGACAAACTCAAAGCTTATACAAGGGAAGAAATTACAAAGATCAGAGCAGAAATCAATGTAAAGGAGTCTAAGAGAACAGTAAAAAACAAACAAACAAACAAAAACAATGAATCAAAGAGTTGCTTCTTTGAAAGAAAGGACATCAACAAACCCTTAGCCAACTTTATCAAAAAAAGGAAAGAAAAGACCCAAATCCCTGCAATTAGGAATAAAAAGGGTGAAATTACAACGGACTCAGCAGAATTCCAGAGGATCATCAATATCTATCTCAAACTGGGGATTTAGCTCAGCAGCACCACCCTTGCCTCACACACAAGGTCCTGAGTTCAATCCCTGATACCAGGAGAAAAAAAAAAAATCCACAGGTCAATAATAAATATTGTGGGATACTTACGTGACTCATAATGATAATACCTATTTTGACAATCTATATGTCAATAAGATGGAAAATACAGAAGAAAAAGACAGATTCCTAAATAAGTATGAATTACAAAAGTTGAATGAAGATGACCTAAAAACTCTAAACAATCCAATATCAATCAATGAAATTGAAAACATAATTAAAAACTAACCAACTAAGAAAAGCCCTGGCCTTGATGGCTTTACTGCTGAATTCTACAACACATTTAGAGAACAACTGCTACTACTATTTAAACTCTTCAATGAAATTGAAAGAGAAGCAATGCTCCCAAATTCATTCCTGGAAGTAAGCATCACCTTGATCCCCAAAGCAGAGAGAGACCCAACCAAAGAAGTGAACCATAGGCCAAACTCCTTAATGAGCACAGATGCAAAAATCCTCAATAAAATACTGGCAAACAGAATGTAGAAGATCATCAAGAAGATCATACACCCTGAGCAAGTGGGATTCATCCCAGGGATGCAGAGATGGTTCAACATATGCAAATCAATAAATGTAATACACTATTATTAATAGAGCCAAGGACAAAAACCGTATGATCATCTCAATAGATGCAGAAAAAGTGTTCAACAATATCCAACATGCACTCATGATAAAAAGCCTACAAAAAATTGGAATAGATGGTCTCTACCTCAACCTGATTAAAGCCATTTACCAAATGGTCAAAACTGAAATGCTTCACACTAAAATCAGGAACAAGACAAGGATGTCCACTACCACACCTGTTCAATATACTTTTGGAAACATTAGCCACAGCAATTCAGACAAGAGGAAGAAATAAAAGGAATAAAGATAGGAAATGAAGAAGTCAAATTGTCTTTATTTGCAAATGACATTATACTCTATACTGAAGACCCGAAAACTCCACCAAAAGTCTTCTAGACTTAATAACCAAATTCAGTGGAGTAGCTGGATACAAGGTCAACACACAAAAATCAATAGCTTTCCTGTCAATAGCTTTACTGTACATGAAAAAGCAAAAGTATTCACTGAAAAAGGAACTGGAGAAATAACTCCTTTCACAGTAGCATTCAAAAAAATGAAATAACCTAGGAATCAACCTAACAAAAGAAATCAAAGACCTCTACTCTGAAAACTATAGCACTCTGAAAAAAGAGATCAAACAGGATATCAGAAAATAGAAAGGCATCCCTTGCTCCTGGGTAGGAAGAATAAATATAGTGAAAATGGCTATACTTCCAACACTCCTATACAGATTCAATGCAATCCCAATTGAAATTCCAGCAGCATACTTCATAGACCTTGAGAAAACCATCCAAAAATTAATTTGGAACAAGAAGAGAACTAGAATAGCAAAAGCAATTCTGGGCAACAAAGACAAGGTAGGGTATATATCACAACTGCAAACATGAAACTATACTACAAAGCTAGTGTGATAAAAACAACATGGTACTGGCAAAGAAACAGCCTCAAAAATCAGTGGCACAGATTAGAATATGCAGAAACAACTCTAGACATACTCAGCCTCCTCAACTTTGACAAAGGAGCCAAACACCTTCACTGGAGGAAAGACAGCCTCTTTAATAAATGATGCTGAAAAAACTGGGTTTCAACTTGCCAAAGATTAAAACTAGACCCATTATCTCTCACTATGCACTACACTAAAATTGAAATGGTTTAAAGATCTAAAGATTAAAACAGAAACACTAACCTGGCTGTAAGAGAGGTTAGGTAGAACTCTTGAAGACATTGGCTTAGGGAAAGATTTCATGAATAAAACCTCAGTTTCTGGTGAAGTAGCACAAAGAATCAATACGTCAAAAAAGAATTCATCTATATACACACACACATACTCAAACCTATTAGTATTAGTGGGTACATTTCAGCAAATTACAGGTCACATGATCAATACCAAAAATTAACTATTTTTTAGACATTTCCAATGAACAAATTTTTAAAAAATCAAGAAAATAATTCTACAGCATAAAAAATACAGATACACTTCAACTTATGACTAGGGTTACTTCTTGATAAATTCACTACAAACTGAAAACGCTGTATTGTGAAGATGCATGCAGTATTCCTAACCCATTGTTAAGATTTGGATCTTAAATGTCCACCAAAGGCTTCTGTGTTAAAGGGCTGTTTGCCAGCTTGTGGCACCACTGGAAGGTGATGGAACCTTCAGGAGGCAGGGCCCATGGGAAGGAAATTAAATCAAGATGGGCACACTCTTGAAGAGGCTATTGGGACCCTAGCCCTTTTTCTTGCTCATTTTGTTTCCTGGATGCCAAGGAGTATGCAGCTTTGCCCCCACATGCTCTGCATCATGATATTCTACCTTCCCACAGGGCAAAAGCATCAGAGCTAAGCAACATGGACTGAAACTACAAGCCAGAATAAACCTTTTTCCCTTATTAGATGGTTTATATCAGGTCTTTTCTACAGGGATGGAAAGCTGATACCTATCAATCACCACACCTTAGCAGCACAACACATTGGGTATGACTGGTTGTACATCCTCACAATCTTATGTCTAACTGGGAGCTGCTAGTCATTTTGCTTCTCAGAATCATGAGACAGCATCAAATCACACCTATTGCTGGTCTACAAAAAGATCAAAATTCAAAGTATGACTCCATAAAATGCATTTCACTGTTTTACCAAAGAAAAAGGGTAAAAAAATCCTGTACATGTTGAGCCATCACAAATTAGGGACTATCAGTACTTTGGAATAAACCTAACCAAGGAGACTTGTAAAGTGTAAACTATAAAATACTACTATAATTAAAGATCTAAATAAATTAAAAGATACCCTGGCCTGGGGACTTAAGCTCAGTGGTGCTGCGCCTGCCTTATAAGCAAGAAGTCCTGAGTTCAATCCCCGGTACAAAAGAAGAAGAAGAAAAAAAAAAAAGATACCCCACATTCATTAATAGGAAAAGTTAATATAAAAATGGCAATACTACACAAAGCAATCTACAGATTTAAAAAAGCAGTGGCTTTTTTGCAGAAATGGAGTATTATTCAGGTACAAAAAGAATTAAGTATTGTCACATGCAAAAATATAAATGAATTTTGAAAACATGCTAAGAAAAAGGAGCCAGACACAAATCTGTTCTACAGATTTTCCTATAGATTTAAAGCATCCTAAAATATGTATTTCATTTAGAAACAAAAGTTATGTAATTTTGAGTATCAGGGGTTGACATGTACTTCAGTAAATATTTTAGGCTTTTTTTCTGCAGTCACTTAATTTTGCTCACAGCATGAAAACAACTAAAGTTTTGGGGGTTTTTTTGGTACCGGGGATTGAACTCGGGTCCTTGTGCTTGCAAGGCAGGCCATCAAACCGCTGAGCTAAATCCTTGGCCCCTAAAGTTTATTAACTAAGTGAATGAGTATTCCTGTGTTCTAATAAAAGTTAATTTATAAAAACAGTAGCAAGCCCAAGTTGGCTTGAGGGCCTACAGTGGTCAAGCCCTACCACATACTTTTCTTTTTCTGTATTAATGGGATTATTATTATAAGGAAGTGCAAATACTTTTTTACAAATGAAAGTTGAATGAAATTTAAACTACCAGCTAGTAGTTGTGGTGCATGCCTGTAATCCCAGGACCAGGGAGGCTAAGGGAGGAGATCACAAGTTCAAGGCCAACCTGAGGTACACAGTGAGTCCTCACCCAAAAAAATAAATAAGTTAATACAATAATGTGAAATAGGAAGAAAAGGGCTAAAGGAGTAGGGGAAGGGTAGAGGAGAGGAAAGAAGGGAAAAGAAAACATATTAGAAAAGGAAAATATGGAAACAAAGTCTTTATAAATAGGGAAGGGTGCAGGGGGTGAAGGGAGGGCAGGGAAATGGGAAAAAAATAAGAACCAAGATACACCAAGTAAAGGTACAAGATCCCAATGATGAATGTAACACTACTGTATACCTAAAAAGTACAAATAAACTTAATGAAAAAAAATAAATTGATAAACAGTCATGAAATTATGCAGTCCACAGTAGTAATAGATTTATATTTACTGAGAATCAAAGAATCTAGCAATAAAGTAAAACTTCAAACAGAACTGGTAAACATTAACTAAATGTAAATTTCAATATGAATGACAATCATTTTAAACTAATAACTTTTTCCTTAAAGTGAGAGCATCTTATAGCTCACTTTATTACATTTCTCAAAAATTTTAATGAAATTTTGAAATTTCCTATGGTCATATTTTACAATGAAACTCTAAAACTTTCCAACTTTCTAACACTTTTTTCTGAAATTCATTGTGTTTACATATAGTACTATACAGTTAGGTGTTGTTTATTCTCCATTAGTTTGTTTCTTCAATCATGATTTAAAAGCTCCTTAGGACACTTAAAAGAATGAGGCAAATTGATGTTTATTATTTCATAAACACAATTTGTGGTATTAACAATAAAATGACCTAGAAAAAACAAATCTGAATAATCAATCGCTTCTGTCCAGACAGTAATCCCTCTGCTGGAGAGGATGGTGAATAGCACAGAAATGATAAAGAAATAAAACATTTCCTTCTAATCTTCTCACTTGTTTTTGTTTCCTCACCACTCTTGCCATTGGTATTTAGCCTAATTAAAGATCCTTTTTATGAATTATGAACAACGTAAATAAATCTATGCTTTACATAATTTTATGTAATTTCTGCAAGGACCTTACATTATAGGTAATTTCTTTCTAAAAAGTGTATAAAGTAGTTAAGAAACCATAGATAAGAAAGAAAAATCTCTTATGATCTTTATTCCTCAGACATTTAAAAATCAAATATAAGCTGGGCATGGTGGCGTAGTACACCTGTAATCCCAGCACTCGGGAGGCTGAGGCAGGAGGATCGCTGTGAGTTCGAGATCGGCCTGGGCTACATAGTGAGTTCCACGGCAGTCTCAACTACATAGTGAGACCCTGTCTCAAATAAAAACAAAAACAAAAACAAAAACAAAGAACAAACAAATCAAATATAAAAACCAAATGACACCCTAAGTACATCATATGCTTCAGCATTAAAAAATCCAAGCTATAGAACATTTAAATTTTACTATATTATAAACTATTACATTCTTCTGCTTGTAGAATATTTATGTTAGCAAAGTAAGCAATGACCACTGTTAAGTATGGCTTAAAAGAATATCAAAGACATAGAAATGATATAGTTTGAAAGCTCTCCCTGGTTTTATCTACTTACAAACTGCTGTAGGCATAACTAATTAGAGGCAAAATTATAAAACACTACTGAAGAACTTAATTGTATGTAGACATATAGTATACTTTTTCCAAAAGTAGCATTAACTTGAGTACTTAAACAATGTACTTACTCTAAAAGAGGCGGAAGTATTTCACAATTCAAAACAAAATCTCTGCATTCTGCATTGTCCCCAGCAATATTACCAAGTGCCCAAACAGCCTTAGAAAAACAAGGAAAAAATTCTCTTAAAACAGTATGCTAAATAAGATGCTCTTTCTTACAAATAAAGTTTTAACAAAGTTGGGCATGGTGGCATGTGCATATAGTTCCAGCTATTCCAAAGGGTGAGGCAAGGAAGATGGTAAGTTTCTGGCCAACACGGGCAAAACACAACATATGAAAAAAAAAAAAAGTAAGGCAGTAAGAAAAACCTCTAAAAGTGCAACTTTAAAATTTTTCCCATGTATGTGTGGGTATATATATCACATAGTACTAGTAAAATTTCTATATTCTACTCAACAAAGAGCATAACACTTTCACTCTGAGTCTACATGGAGACAAAACACATCTATCTAGCAAATTTTCTAATTATTTTTAATAAAGGGAAGTTCCTATACAAAGAAATCCTCTGAGAATGCACTGATTTTTAAAATAAGGGAGTAAGAAAAAGCATAAAAAGTCATGGCTAAAAATGAAAATATGAAGTCCAGTTAACTATATTTTTGAAAACATTAAGCATTTAATTAACTCACTTATATGAGAAATGCAAACACAAATTGTCATTTTAATACATTCTCACTCCAGATTTTCACATTACGTACAAAAAGTACAGGTATATTTTTCCTGTTGGGAAAATTTTACCATTTAAAATGGGTTAATATTTCAATCTATACTCTATACCTAAACTTATTTTTTTAAAGAAAAAAAATAACTCCAGTGCCAGGGATTTAGCTCAGTAGTTCTACCACCTGCCTTGCAAGCACAAGGACCCAAGTTCGATCCCCAGTACAAAAAAAATAAAACATAAAAAATAAAAAAAAAAACAACCTCTAAATATATTCTGTTGGTGGACATGTTATTGCTCTAATCTTTTTGTGATTCAGTCTTGAAATATTTAATACCGTTTTTTCTTGTTTTGCTTTTTACTCACTTTTTTTTGAAGTGCACTGACTTTCTAATATTTTAATATAACACAAGGAGATATTAATAAAGAAAATATAAAAGCCGTTCTATGAAAGAATAATTTTTCATAATGGATAGTCATTTTCCTTAATAGAATAATCAAGCAACCCCAAAACTGATACATATTGATGTTCAACCCAGTATTAATGTGAATAAGCTAGAAATAGTTTAAAGGTATAAAAATCCAATAGATAACAAATTATGGAAAATACATGGGTATATATGGAGTAATCAGTGAAATTTTCTTGGAGGAATAACTAATGCCATAAGAAAAAGTTCCTTGTTGGGCGTGGTAGCACATGCCTGTAATTCCAGTACTTGGGAGGCTGAGGCAGGTGAGTTCAAGGCCAAACGGGGCTACCTAAAGAGTTCAAGGCCAGCCTGAACTACAGTAAAACCCTGCCTCAAAAAAAGAAAAAAGAAAGAAAGAAAAAGTTCCCAATTAGTGTTAAATGGATATAAAAAAGGCATTAAATTAAGTGGTAAATGAAATGATAGATGTTCAGTGTGCATACAGAGGATGCAAAATAAAAATACCAAACATTTTATTTTCTTTGGATAATACATCTGTATGTGAATAAATTTTCCCTCTAACAAGAAAACTTTGAAAATTGATTCACAAAAAATATTTTAAAATGGCCCTACTTAATGTAATGTGGTATTTTAAAAGAAATAATATTAAAATAATTTACTTATGTGCAGAGAATAAGGACTCAGATTAGCTCAGATTTAAAGCCTGCCATCCATTCACTGTAACCTTTGGTCAGCTAGCAATTTTTCTGTGTCTCAGTATGCTCTTTTTAAAGTAGGAATGGTGACATCACACCTATGCTAGCTGACATCACACTTCTAAAGAACACAGAATTATGCCTGAGAAAGTTCATTCTTCCACTTTTGGTAAATTAGCTACAAAAACGAATTGTAAGTAATAATCATTAATTGACAATTCTCATGAGAAAATTAAAATCTCTCTATATAACTATATAACTATATATATCAGCACAAAGTAGAAACTTACCTGTTCTTGAACATCTTCATGTTTTGAATCAAGAAGTTTGATAAAAATTGGAACTGCTCCAGTTTCAATCACTACCTTGGTATGCAGAAAAGTTCCAGATGCTATATTAGTTAATGCCCACACAGCTTCAAACTAAGGGTGATAAAGCAAAACACATGAAAACACAAAAGAAATACCAAGAAGGAGAAAAAAGTAAGAGAGGGATGTAAGACTTAGCTGGACAAGTCTGAGAAGAAAGACTGACTGATAAAAAAATTCACTGTCAAAACAGTTTTCACAGATGAAAATCCTTATTAAGAAAAAAACCTATTCTTCAATCTGAAAAACAAGAACTGGAAAATGGAAATTTACAAAATCACTAATACTGTATATATAGCCAGGTATGATGGTGCATGCCTGTAATGCCAGCACTGAGGAGGCTGAGGCAAGAAAATCATTGTGAATTTGAGACTAGCCTGGGCTATATAGTGACTTCCAGGTCAGCCTCAACTACATTGTGAGACCTTGTCTCAAAAAACCAAACCAAACCAAACAAAATACTGTATATAAACACACACTATTTTACAATTCATAACATTCCTAATGTTTACTATTAGAGAGTTGGTATTCTAAAGCAAGCAGTTCAAAACTAAGTAAGACACTACTTAATAGGGCAACAGAATCATATAAAGTACGTTTTCCTAGGGATCAACTAGCGCCAACCTCCTTACTTAAGAAATAAGAAAATTAGAAGTTCAGAGATTTAGATGTTTGTTCAACATAAAGATTTTACTATTACCAGAACCAGAAGTAGGATTCCTGCTATTCTTTTAATCAGCAGAGCCTTTCAGAAGTTACTTATATCAATCCAATTAGAATTAAGTCCATTAAAGATGATGGATTTTTATAGCCATGACTGGGAACATTCAATCCATAACTCCCAAACAGTTAGGCAGCAAAACACAAAAAGCAACCTATAAACTCATAAACTAAGTAGGGACTATAGATAGTTTATAGATAGTTGCACAGACAGTTTTCAGGTTAATGTAGATACCATTATAAATTAACAAAAAATGCATGAAAATCACTACTGAAATACAAAAAAGTATATTTATTATTATGTGTGAGACTAAGAAAAATTTCAAGGGAAGAATTTGTATTAAAAAAGTGGGGGGGGGGCTGGAGATTTGGCTCAGTGGTTCTACTGCCTGCCTTATAAGCACAAGGGCCTGAGTTTGATTTCCAGTACCAAAAAAAAAAAGAATCAGTGAGGGTTAGGGGTATAACTCAGTGGAAGTGCACTTGCCTAGTATTTACGAGGGCCTGGGAATAAACCTCAGCCCTGTTAAAAGAAGAAGAAGAAAGAAAAAAAGACAAGTTAGGAGACCATAATCCTAACCAATTATAAATAACAGAAGACAACAAAAGACTACTCCATAAAATTCTCCTTGTATTGTTAGATGCAAGCATTAGTGAAGTCTCATAACTCTACCAAAATTGTGGAAAACCAGAATGCAGGCTACAATTTTTTGGGGGGAATGGGGGCAGCAAACTCAGAGCCTTGCACTTGCAAGGCAGGCAGCAGTACCACTGGGCTAAATCCCTGGCCCTGCAGGCTAGATAATTTTAAAAAGGAAAGAAAAGGCCTAGATACGTAGCTGAGCAGTAAAGTACTTGCCTAGCATGCTTATGGCCCTGGGTTCATTTCCCAGCATTAGAGGAAAAAAAAAAGAAAAAACAGAACTTCTACTTAGGTTCATTTCATCTTTTCTATATAGGGTTATTCTATCTCTTCCGATTTGTCCAAATAAATTGAAAAAAATGGATATACACTTGAAGTTCCCCAAGTTTTAAGTCTGATAGCATCTCCGTATGCTTTAAAATGTGTGCATCACTTCTTCCCTTTTTTTGGCTAAGATCAAGTGTAAAATGTGTATGTAGGCCAAATAAAACTTGTTTGTTTATCAATCTGGCCTGTTGGCCCCCACCCTATTTGAGACATTCCTATTAATTAGTTAGATGACTAGTAGTCTCATCTAATACATTCATATGTGCTAGGGTAAATGCACAGCATGGAACTACCCCATATTGCTGAATTAAGTTGTAATTATAATGATTAATAAACATTCAAATTTCCAACATTCACACATATGTCATGCTTTCTATACATTTTGTCTTTTCAACCTGAAATTCATTATCCTCTTTTTAGTCTGGCAAACTTGCCTTCATTCTTAGGACTACCTTTGTGAAGCCTTTCTTAATTTTCACCACACAGAATAAGTTTGCTATAACCTCTATGTTCCCTCAGCACTTTTTTTGTTTGTTTTTTGTTTTGTTTTTTTGAGACAGGGTCTCACTATGTACTTGAGACTGACCTGGAACTCACTATGCAGCCCAGGCTGGTTGCGAACTCATAGCGATCCTCCTGCCTCAGCCTCCCGAGTGCAGGATTACAGGCATACGCCACCATGCCTAGCTTGAGCATTTTGTTTATAGTTCTGTCACAGCACTAAGCATTCACATTATTACAGATCTGTTTACATGTCTGCCTTCTGCAACACTTTGTAGATAAGAACAATGACTTAATTTTGGAACTACAGCGTGTCACATAACACTTGGCTCAAACCAGAACTCACTGGTTTTATTTATTTATATTCATTCATTTTTTTCTTCCATTCATTTCAAATTAGAGAGCCAAATAATAAACCAGGTATCAGGAGACCTGGGTTTTAGTCTAGGCTCAGGGCTTGGGTAAAGCAAAAGGACTACATACCAGGATCTCTAACCAAAAAGAAGTGACAGTAAAAGCATAATCCGAAAAAAATTTAGCCTTTTCCTCTGAGATCCTTATTGTAAACATTCTCAGTAATTTTTCACATTTACACAAAAAACCTTTGCTTATACTTAAAATGTGAGAGTCCCTCCCAAACCATTCAGATAAGTGGACCACTACTCAAGTTGCAAATTCAACAGTTACTCACATAAGGGCTTTGAATTACTGAAAACTAGATGTAGATATTCTGCATTTCCTGAAACATAAGATATAATCCACCCTGTGCTCTTACTTAAGAATAGACACAGCAGGGTTAGGGATGTAGATCAGAGATAAAGTGCCTGTCAGGCATGTGCAAGGCCCTGAGTTTGATCCCCAGCACTGCTGGAAAAAAAAGAAAAAAAAATTATATATATATAAAGTCAGGAAGGATAACTTTTTATTCTATTGTTGTTTTAACATTAAAATACTTTAAAACTTCAGTAATTTACCATTAGCAGAAAATTAGTTGTGACTGAGAAACAATGTTCTTTAGGACAAAACTAATTTTGCTCACATTTTTAATTATATTAATTTATTCTTCTCTCTAAAAAAGAACTAATCAAACAACCATTGATATGGTTTATTTATTCTTGGTTTTTTGAGACAGAGTCTTGCAATATAGTACAGGCAGCACTCATGGCAATCCTCCTGCCTCAGCCATCCCAGTGTGGCAATTATAAGCATGCACTACCACGCACGGCTTGCAATACGTTTTAAAGGTAAAAGTTATGACTCTAGTTTGCTAACAGCCAAAATAAATTTAACCATTAACATTTCATTTTAAAGTTTTCTAAAACAAAAGTATTTATTAAAGATGACAACTATAAAATTGTTTTAAAAAGATGACAACTACATAAAATTTCAGGGTTTTTTAATTTTCTGGTACCAGAATAGAACTCAGGACTTTGAGCTTGCCAGGCAAGTGCAGCACTACTGACCTATACCTCTGGCTCATAAAATTTTTTATTAACATTAACAATGTTTTCATATATTTTTTCCAAATTATTTAATAAAATAACAATTCCTAGTATAAATTAGCACTGTAACCATACCCAGGGCAAGACTGTTAACCCCACTTTTCTTTTAATTGATAAGTATTTACTGAATACTTGCAATATAGGCATTACTGAAGAAACTGTTTTCACTAGAAATCAGTACGTCATTTAAGAAAGATTAACAAAATGTCAGACTTACTTGTAAAGTACAATTTTCATTTCTTTCAAGAAATTTCACAAATCTCTGTACAACTCCTGGTTTCTGTATTACCTGATCTATTGGTGGATTAGGTTCTAAAAATAAAAAATGAAATTATTACTTTAACATAATAAGGCTTGTATCTGGCCTGTTTTCAATTAATAATGCACACAAAATAACTCTCCTAGATTTCAGATTTAAATTTAAAACACTAAGCTGGCTGTAACTGAGGACAAATGCTCTTATAACTGCAATATTTTTGCAAAGCAAATTCTACTTTTTTTATTAACCACAATGACAGGCTATTTAAAAATGAATTTCCTACATATTTGGAAATTAAAAATGTATTTCCTACAAGTTTAAACTTCATAAATTGAAAGACTACTTATGAGGTCACCTTTATACACAGGAGTATTTTAGTCCAATATTCAAAACAGCATCTGAGGACAGGGGTTCCACTGATTCTTTATGATACTATCATGGGTATCCAAGGGTAGCTCTTTCAGAAAAATAAGGACTTGTTTAATGTCTCAGTCAGATGGGATTCTATTTTGTCTGGATATTATTTATTTACAAAAATGCTATTGGGGGCTGGGAATTTAGCTCAGTGGTTTCAGTGCCTGCCTTGCAAGTGCAAGGGCCAGAGTTAGATCCCGGGTACCAAAAAAACAAAAATGCTATTGGACAATCTAAATTTTTTGATAAACCTTTATGAATATAGGTTTTTGAGATCACAAACTCCTAGGAAATACTAGTAAAGTTAAATGATATTTCAGATATTGACCAAATAAGTACAAAGTAATCTTTTTTCCACCTGTGCTTCAATAAAAAGTACCCTTTGTGGTTCTTCAGTACTTCTGTTGGTGTTCCTTTGCTAAGTCTTATTCCTATTTATTTTCTTCCTAGAAAATTTATCTATTTTGTTAATTCATTTGTCCCTTATCATTTATGCTAATTAAAATTCCCTTACCTGAATTTTTCCAGATTTCAGACCATATCTATAAATGTCTATTTGACTCGTTGTTTTCATATATTCTTTAAAATGTAGCATGAGCAAAATCAAACTCCTACCACGACATTTATTTTTCTCCTAGTCCTACATCCACTGTCCATATCTGCTTAAGCAGTAAGTTATCTGTCCATCTAGTCACTGAAAGAGAATGCTCAGTTTTACTTCTGAATGCTGTAAAGTTAATTAATAAAGCTATATTCATTAATTTGGTTTAGGTGCTCTAAATAAAAAAGTTCAAATTCTTCAAAATGTTAATTTCAGACCCTATCTCAAAGGATAAAACAATATATAATATTCTTAAACCATTTACACTCCACCTTTAAAAGAACTCAAACCAAAACTATTGGGTTTTGGTTGCCATTTCACATTCTTAATTTTTCTTTTTCCAAAAGAAAATTCTAAACTTTCTATCTTTTTAAGAAAGAAAAATTTGTCTTGCTCTTTCTGAGTAAGAGATTGAGGTTAGAAGAAAAGAGGGTTTTGTTTAGAGGGTTGTGAAGAGCTGGCATTGGACTATCAGCTACATATGCAGATATAAATATGACATATATAGAGTTGAGAACCTAAATGTAGTCTCTTCCTGGAGAATTACAAGAAGCACATTTATGGTTATCTCCATTGAAAAGAAAACAAGATCACTAGCTAATCTATGCATCATGAACTTTTATTAGTACAAGATTGACAAAATAATAACCTATATTAGTGACAGGAAATGTTTTAGAGACTGAGGGCCAAACTATAACCCAAAACCCACTTATTTATTGCAAAGTGCCAATGCTGCCAATTAAACCAGAATACTGAGGTTTTAGTTTATTTTTTTAATTTTTAAAAATTTTCTTGGTACTGGGGATCAAACTCGGGTCCTTGCACTTGCATGGCAGGCAGCACAACCACTGAGCCAAATCCCTGGCCCCACTGAGGTTTTAGTTTAGAAAAAAACAACTTTACATTAACATCTTTTGTCTTAAAAGAAAAACATAGTAACACTCGTGGCATAAGTTTACCACCACTGGTGTATACAATCTTATAAAAGTGATTAATCATTATAAAGTCTTTTAGTCATTATGGCAACATAAAGAAGCAATACAGCAGCATTTACTTGAACACTGAAAACTAAGCAAGAGGATGGAGGGGGAAGTGAAAAGAACTAAGATGTGTTATGAACCTGTACCAATCCTCCACAATGAATGTAATCATTATGTACTGGAAACATGTACTAAATAAAATGTCTTAAATTTAAACAATTAAAAAAAGAAAAGGGAATTAGTAAGAGTAATACAGAACAAAAAAGTTCTGGAGGAATTTCTACAAAACTATGATTGAACAACAACAAAAAATAAGACTGCTGTCATTTACATCCACAGGAACAGCCATGATAGGGGAAGTAAGACAGATTTTGGTGAAAGGTCATTAAAGTGAGTTAAATCAGAGGAATACAAGGCAAAGCTAAGTATTGGCTATAGAGTAACAAGGTCATATTTCTATCTCCCTAGTGCCAACAGTAACAACTCTATTTACAATAAAGAAATACTCCCAAAACAGGCAAAGTTTCCTACTGGTTTAGCTTTCAGTTCTAGTGTTAGCTGCCTTCCTATGTTTACTACATTAACAGATGAAATAAAATTGCAGTAATTTTTTTCTAAGCCTGACAGATCTGGGAGGAATTAGGTCAATTAGTAAAAAACAAAAAAAAAATCTAATTCCTCATGCATGCCCAAGCAAAATCCCACTTCAAGAAGCAACACAGAAAAATGATTTTCTCAATGAAAAAACAATATACTTTAATAGAAACAGAATACTTTGAGTAACTAGAGAAAATGAAGATAAAATGTTCTGACCAAAGAATTCAAAATCTAGAGAACTTGCTTATAAACCTAAGACATTATTTACATATATAAAGGCTTAAAAGGAATTGTGCCAGTGGAACTTTCAAGGAGGCGAAGAATGTGAAGAAAATTATTTGAGCCATGCTCTACCTTAATAAATCAAAGTCCAATAATGGTGAAATTATAGTATAAAAATACTGGTAGCAAACTGTTAAACATAATCAAATCTCTAGAAATTCTGTTAATCATTTATGGCATCAATCACACGTCAAAAAAGTCTTGACGGAGAATATGATAATATAAAAAAACAACAGAAAAATATTAATCTAACCAAAGTAACATCAGTTAACAAAACAACAAACCCTGAAATATAGGGTGAGAAAGAATGAGGTGACTGTATAATCATTTCTTAACATGGCTAATCTAATTTATCTTTGGATGAAGAATGGAAAACAAGAATTAAATTCATTTATGAACACGTTATTTGTAAAAAAGCAAAGGTGAAAAGCCTTAGAATCTATGAGGACCATAAGATTTATTTTATTCTTAGTGCGTTACTAAATTCTGTCTCTTAGGAAAATAAGGTATTTTCAAAATTTTATCAATTCATATATGCAATTTCATATGATTACAAGTTCTTCAAATTGCATAAGTGAAAATAAGACAAAGGCTTTAATTGTAATGATTCTTATTGGCTCAATATAATAAAATAGGATAAATAACAACAAATAATTGTGAGTTATGTAATGTCAATTAAATAAAGAGAAATATCTGACCTAAGAAGAGGCCAAAGAATGATCATATAAGCATTTGTATTTTACACTTGATCATAGCCAAAAGGCTGAGAAGCAATTAAGCATTTGTATTTTATAAAAATAATTGTGTTAATAAAAATACAGTAAAATATCTGTACAAACTACAGAGTGTAAATCAAATTTATTGCCTTTGACCCACTATCTCACTTTTATGACTGTACATTAAGAAAGTTTCAGATTATATAATGATTTTTGTAGAAATGATTACAACATTCAAAAAATGGGAGGGCCAGGAATTTAGTTCAGTGGTGCCACCACCTGCCTCACAAGCGCAAGGTCCGGAGTTCAATCCCTGGGGTACAAAAAAACAAAAACAAAAAAATGGGAAAATTTTAAGGCCTCAATGATTATTATTTTAAATTGACATTCTATAATGTTATATCATCATTTAAAAAAAAGTCTGAAAATATCTCAGTAAGAATTTATAACACTGTTTCTCTGCAACAAGACTAATCATTTTTTTCAAGGTTAATCATTTTTGTTGCTTTAAATTCTTTTATATTTTGCAATTTTTCTACAATTGTAATACTTTAATAACATCTTTAAAAACCATGTTATTTTGTATACACACATACACATACACATACACATATATACAGGCGTGTGTGTGTGTGTGTGTGTGTGTGTGTATACACATATATATGTTGTTATACATTATCTTTGTTTTTTGAGACAAGGTATTGCTATGTAGTTCAGGCTGGCCTTGAATGCACTATATAACTCAGGCTGGTCTTAAACTGGCAGCAATCCTCCTGCTTTAGCTTCCTGAGTGCTGGGATTACAGGTATTCACTACCACACCCAACTTTGTATGTATTTTAAAAAGAAACTAAAATCTACTGTGTCTGGCAAAGAAAGTTATATTACAATTTTAAAAAATCTAATTAAATGAAGCTCTACTACAAAATCCTATAATATCAAGTAGGCACACTGAAAAGAATTCTTGCCTTTAGAAAGGAGTTTTCTAAATTTCTGTGTTGCCATTAGTTGTTGTTCAGCATTATTAGAAAAAATCATCTGAACCATATCTTTGGTAATAACATCTTCCTGAAACACACAGAAGAAAAGAAAATTAACAGTTAATGTTTCATATGAATAGCATTTGCTGTAAACACTGTGTAAACACTGAAATATTGGTGATAATATTCAAAATATATTTTTTAAAAACATACCTCTGGAATGGGTACAGTAGAACTGGTATCTGGATCCTGGATAGGACTTTCTAGCATAGAATCATCATTTCTGGGCAGAGAGACATTTCTTCGTTTGAACAACTACAATAAAGTAAAAAATCACTTTATACTTAGAGCTTTCCATAAAACATTCATTCAATTGTTACAGAGAAGAAAAAAAAAGAAATGTATGAAAGAGTCACGAAGTCATTGAAGGATATTTACAGAAATATTTCCTAGATCAAAAATGAGGAGAAACATTACATTCTTTTTGCTAGCTAAATACTGCTCTTCTTCAATCTGCACATACTTTTTAATCAACAGAGTGGTTTATTTTAGTGTAGCATTAAGGACTGTGCATGATGGATAGGCAGCTGATAAATCACAGTCATTCTGATATTTTTTTTTTTCTAAGTCAGGGTCTCATTATATAGTTCAGGCTAGCCTTGAACTCACTTTGTTAACCCAAACTGCCTTCAAACTTCCTGCAATCCTCCTGTCTCTGCCTCCCAAATACTGGTATTATAGGTGTGTTCCACCACTCCCAGCTAGAAAGGATATTTCTAAAAGGGGCTTTTTTCCACTTTCTTCACTAGTCCTTTTCATACATCAGTTTTATTTGTAAATGTTATTTGTAAATAGTATTTTTTGTAAGTTTTTCTAAATTTACAGGTATCTTGGAATAAAATGTTGATACGGTCACTCTTAAATGATTTCTATTCTTTGTGTTACACATGTAAAATATAAACAGAGAAGTCTAAGAGATCTTTCTGATGAGACAATTGGAAAAAGAGAATGAGTAACAAGGGAAGATAATGATAATTAAAGAGTTATGAATATCCCAAAGTAGCAATAAATATAATTCATGATTTTTGTGGAGATGGAGGCAACTTTCACAATGAAAGATGGAAATTATCTAAATGAGTCAAAAGTAAAAATTTCTTACCAGTGGGGTAGAAATATAATAGGTCTATCAATACAGATTATGTTACTCCTCTCAGTGTTTAAAAATAACATAGGTGGGCCGGGGATTTAGCTCAGTGGTTCCACCGCCTGCCTTGCAAGTACAAGGACATGAGTTCGATCCCTGGTACCACAAAAAAAAAAGCATAGGAGCTGGGGATTTAGCTCAGTGCCACTGTGCTCACCTCACAAGTGCAAGATCCTGAGTTCAATTACTGGCATAAAAAAATAAAAATGATATCACAGGTGTTTGATTCATAAATTTTCAAATAAAAAGAAATATTTTTTAAATCCTACCTGTTCTTCCCTTTTTTGTTTTCGAAGCTGTATTCCTTCTTCTTCTCTTCTTCTATGCATCTCTTGAGGATTTAGGGCTTTATTCTTATAACTTTTCATTCTGTAGTTATCTTTCCCTGGACTCACCATGGACTCTTAAGGAAGAAAAGCAGAAAACAGAACTGGGTAACTCTCAAAATAAAGAAGCTTTCTCTACTGATAGCCTTTTAGAGCTTTCAGTGGCAACAAATAGCAGGCTGTGGCATATGTGCCCTAAGTTTGCCACCACTGCTGTACGGCAACTAAATTCAGGCTAATACACAAACAAACAAAACACATCTGGAAATTATATACAAAGGATATCTTCTCCATATCAAAATTGATAGTGAATTCAGGTATTTTAATTTATATTTAAATATTTAAATTTATCTACAGTAAAAATCACTGTTACAGTGCAAAAGTCTATGAACAGGGGCCGGGGATTTAGCTCAGTGGTTCCGCCACCTGCCTTGTAAACGCAAGGACCCAAGTTTGATTCCCAGTACCAAAAAAAATTAAAAAATAAATTTTCTTAAAAAGTCTATGAACATAACAAATGAGCACACTTTAAAACATTAGTCAAGACAGAACAGTTCCTCTGCCCTCAAAAAACACATCATATTGCCATGCATGGTGATGAACAGCTGTATTCACAGCACTCAGGAGGCCGAGGCAAGAGGATAATAGCAAGTTGAAGGCCAGCCTGGGCTCCATGGGCTCAAGGCCAGCCTAAACTATACAGTGATATCCATCCTCAAAAAAAAGAAAAAGAGCATCGTGTTGTTCCAATTGACCTTCTCCCTATCTCATGCTTCATGTCACCGACTTGCTTTCTAGCCATAGTTCTGTGCTTTCCTGAACGCCATACAAATGGAATCACACAGCATATGATCTCCTGACTGACTTCTTTTATTCAGCATAGTATCTGAAAGCCACCCACATGGCTGACACCTAACATTTGTCCCTTAGTGCAGAGCAGTATCCTAATGGCAGCTTACTCATTTACAATTTGAAGATAATTTCAATGGTTTTCAGTTTTAGATGGTTATGAATGAACTTGCTATAAATAGTCATCAGTGTGTATAAACATTAACTATTTCTAAATTTCTTTTGGGTAAATATCTAGAAGTAGAGTTAAAGAATAAAATAGCAAGTGTGTGTTCACATTGTAAGAAACTATCAAATTGATTTTTAGAATTATGGTTCCATCTTGCAAATTAATACCATACAACATTTCCAGTTGTTTTGCATCTTGTGTCCACTTCCTATTGTTAAGGCTGCTGTTGCTAAATGTAGCCATTTTAATAGATGCATAATAACTATGGCTTTAAATAGTTAAATTTCTGGCATACTTTTGACAAATATAGAAGGTTTTGATCTACAAATTATTGAAAATGTGGGTCAGAACACAGGACAGGGATTCTGATTGATCATCCAATAGCATGTAGAGTTACAAAAGACAGATACCAGAATAACCTTTAGGTTATTAACATATTAGTTGATAAAGGCAAGAGGAAAGGAAATCAAAATGAAATAGGCCAGAGAAGTAGAAAAGGAAAAAGTTAAGAGTTGTGCAAGGGAGTTGAAATAAGATAATAGTAGCACTAAAATTGTAACAAAGTTGTACTAGCACTAAAAAGACCACTCAATTCATTCACTGATTGAACTAGCAAATATAAGTGCCATCAACAAGTAAAGTACCAAACAAGTCTTTAGATTTGGTGATTGGGCAGGGCATGGTGGTACACGCCTGTAGTCCCAGGACTTGAGAAGCTGAAGCAGGAAAATTGTCAGAGTTCGAGGCCAGCCTGGAATACGTAGTGAGTTCAAAGCCAACCTGAGTGATACCGTCTCAAAAACAACAATAACAAAGCATATTTGTTACTTTAAAACATTACTTTAAACAGGAAGATGGCAGAGGAAACAATAAAACCTCTCCTGGATCTGGTGTCTAGATATTGGAAGATAGCCAACATGAGGAAGAGAAGTGGGTCCCCCAGCAAGGATCAGAAGTGAGAACTGAGGCCCACAGGGAGAGCCCAGAGACCTCAATGCAGGAGTTAGCAAACTGCTTTCTTCCTGAGCCCTAACTCACTGTGTGGGAGGGGTAGCTCAAACCTGTAAACAAACAGTGACTACTGGCAACCTCAGAGGCCTCCACAGAGAAATGCAACAGTGGAACAGAGCAGTGGTCGCAGCAGACTACAGTGGCCGGTGAATTGATCAGGTTCAGATGCCCTCCAGGAAAGGGTGACTGACTGGTTGCCATGCTGGAGAGGGACCAAATGAGCTCAGGACTTAGAAGAGCTGTGGACTGGCTCCATCAGGGTGAACTGGGACTGAGTTCAAGGTGGCAAGAGGCACACAGAGTGTTACAGGCTGAACAAATTGGGTTCTATCCTCAAAGATAGAAACCCACCTGAACTTTGGAGGAACTAAAGGTGAAGGTTTCTGGGATTATCCCACCATAAATCTATGGCTGGGTTGCTGAGAATAACATGGTTCTAGGCTCTGTCTGCCCAACTTGTCTACTAGTGAGAGCAGAGACACACCCTGAAATGAAAATTTTTATTCTTTTTAAAAATTCTTTTTCCCCTATGTTTTTGTGTTAATTGTTCTTATTTTTATAAAAGTGTGGACATTACTTCTAATATTTTGTTGTTGTACTGTTGTTTTTATTTTCTTTTATTCCTTCTCTCTTTACCTTGTCTTTTTCACCAGTTTCTCAGTTTGCCTAATTTTTGTCTTCCAGTCTTGCTTCTAATCTTTTCCTCTCCTATTTCTCTATTTTCCCCCCCCAAACCCTTTTAAGTTTTCTTCCTGAAGGTAAAATCATCATATTGAGGTCATAATTACTGCACACAATTTTCTGGTTTGTTTTACATTTTGTTATATAACTGGATAGTTTATGTGGTTAAAGGCAGCAAATTAAGTTACCACACTGTTATTTTCTAGACTGTGTTTGAGATCATTATAATAGTTGATTTACAAAGGTGAGGTTATTGTTCTAGTCAGTTGTTTTTCCCAGTATGCCAAGACTGAGATTGCCTAAAGGCCAAAAATACTATAGGGCAGTGCCAAATAACCAGGGGCTAGGCCAAATAGGCAGCAACTTATCCCCAATAAATTGAAGAGGTAGGATCCTGCAGCAGACTCAAAATTCAAAGGCCAGCTATACCTAGACAATATCTCTGAGAAATAGTAATTTCCTAATGGTTAAAATACTAGCAATAAAGCTTTTTGCTACAAGTAATTTATGAGCATCAACCCATGAAGTAAACTAAAAAAATTTGAAAATCAGAAGACACTTAAGATGCAAAGGTAGACTTTCAGCTTACCAAAGGCAAACCCAGGGAACAATGAGGAAGAACTATCTGAAAGCCACCCTCATGGACACTGAAGTAGTATTAGCAGGGCTAGGGATGTAGCTCAGTGGCACCTGGGCCTGTCAGAAGTGGTAATATTAGAAGTAAGAAAGCAGATGAACAAGGCTTTAGAAAAAAAAACAAATCAGAAAGACTCTATCTGATAACCACAGAGATGGTGAACAAATTGAAAGACATGGTTAGCAACTCTAGACGGCATACAGATTAAAAAAAAAAAAAACAAAAACAGAGAAGCTTAGCAAAACAATAGAAACCATGAAGACCCAACATAGTAAATAGAATCCATGAAACAGATTTGAACAGATATTCAGAAGACTAAAAATTCCACTTTAAGTATATGAAGCAGGATGAGCCAATGTGAGGAAAGAATATCAGATCTAGAGGATAAGATTGTGGTTAGCTGTCATGAAAAGAAAGTTTTTTTTTTTTTTTTAAATAGGAAGGGACCATGAAAAATCAATTCAACAGCTGCTAGATCATGCAAAGAGGAATAATGTAAGATCGATCACAGTCAATGAAAAAGCAGGAGAAAGCACAAGTAAAATAAAAAACCTGATACAGAAGTAATGGCAGAAAACGTTCCCAGATAAGTGAGGCATATAGAAGTTAAAAAAAAGCCTTAACATAAAAGAAACAAGTCACATAGAAAGAAAATATGACTAAGAGCTTATGCTGGGAAAGCCAGACCAGAGTTCATTACAGAGTAAATCAGTACTCAACATTTGCTACTAAACTATGCTCAATAAGTAAATATTTTAATAAAATAAAATGTTATGGAAATACACCCTTTAAAATATTTATAACCTATATACATGGCATTTTCCAGACTACTAGTCTCTGGGCTTTTTCCATCATAAAATACTTTTTTGTATTTAACCTCAATATTCATTTCATTATGTTACTTTAATGTACCAGCCCATCATAAAAATCCACTAAAAGTAGCAATTTTTAAAATATGAACTATTTTATTTTATTTTATTTTGATACTGCAGATCGAACTCGGGACCTTGCGCGTGCAAAGGAGGCGGTGGAACCACTGAGCTAAATCCCCGCCCTTAAAACAAACTATTTTAAAAGGTAAATATAAGTTCTAATATTTGCTTCACATACGATTGGATCACTTTGTGCACTGATTCAACACACACATGTATTTTGGATACTAAGACCATTCATTAACCTAGGCAAGCACACTAAAATGTTTCAATAAGAATGTTTCAATATAATTTGTCATTCAAATAAAATGGGACCTCAACAACTCAGATATTTTTTTTTTTTTTTTTTTTTTT